CCCCAAAACCCCAAAACCCCAAAACCCCAAAACCCCTTATTTTATTTGATAAATAATATAATGAAAGTCAATAAGGCACTCGATCAGAATGCAAGCGATCAGTGATGGCTCGAAAGAATGAAGAAGGAAGAAAATCATAAGCTAAAGTAAGCTAAAATCTTCTGGCTAATCTGTATTTTCTAGATCAGTTTATAAAGGGATAGACATGAGAATAATATCTTCCCTCCCTGTTTCAGACCAGTTCGCTTCAAGTATTGATAAAATGAATCCCAAAAGTTCTAATTTCATCCCTCTTGCAGTTACCAACCAATATTTCAAGAATACTAAATTTAATGCTAAAGATGTCTATGGGAAAGGTCCCAAATCTCAAGATTTAAAAGGCCCAGTCACATCTGTGAACGGAGGAAAATAAGATGTACTATGGCAATGATAGGCTCAGATATATGGACAAAAATATTGACTTATCTCAACCAGAGTATAAACGTTACAACTTGCAAAAGCCTAATAATGCCCCTAATTGTCTCTCAAGGAGAACGAATAGTATTAATCCTAGTCATAAAGGTACCTTCGTAGACTTGAAACATCCTTATCAATGGGATATTAAGCCTAAAGAGGAAAGGAACTATAGTTATATCAGAAGTTCAAAAGAATCTTCTCCAAAGGTGAATAATTCTACCTTTGAAAACTCAGTATACAAGGAAAATAGAAAGAAGCAGGACCCTCTTCACCATGGTAAGGAGATAGCAGAAAGACTGAACTATCTCGAAAAGAAGGATCTGAGTAACAGTAATTTCATGACTACGAAATATCTCAAGAATGTATCCACTATTGAGGCTGTCTCTCCCCTCAAATCTGCATATAGAAGAAACCAAGCTTATAATGCAGTTAATTCTATGAGCAATTTTTATAATAGTCCTAGAAAGCAAGAGCAGGTTTCACCAAAAGTCGGACAGTACGAAACAGTAAGGATCAAAAGCTAACACTATAGGACTCGTTAAAGAAGTACCAAAATTATTCACCTCTGAGGGACAAATACTTCTCAAACTTGGATTTCATCTCTTCTAAACCCTAAGAAGTTTGCATTAATTAGTTGCGGTATTTATCAATTTAATTAACCTCAAAAGGGGTTTTGGGGTTTTGGGGTTTTGGGGTTTTGGGG